GTCAGAGGCCGCAAAGGCATGACGCGATCCAAAGCTCCAGCGGCCGCACTCTCCCAGGCGGCCACCAGCTCTTCAGTCGAGTCGTGCGTCAGAGTCTCAGGAAATGGCCCAAGCTCTGTCAGGAACCTTTTGGGATCCATCAGGCGCCTGGGACAGAACCATCTGGTCGGTTCCGTCTCCCTGCGGCGGGGGGAAGCGGTAGGAAAGTCCAAGTGAAGGAGCGAATGATCTGTCCATGACAAGGGTTTAATATCTAGGTCCCCTCTACCAAGATCATTCAACCACTGACCAGAGACAAAAATCAAGTCCAGAGTGTGTCCCCCTATGTGAGTGGGGCCTTGAACTAACTGGGTCAGGTCCATGGCCATCATGGAAGCCATGAACTCCCGAGCCACCTCGGACGCCTCACCTGCAGATGGAAGGTTGAAATCCCCCATGACAATAAGTCTGGGGGTATCAACCGCCACCCCGGCAATGACGTCAAGTAGCTTGGGCAGGGTTGCTGCTACGTGGCAGGGAGCCAGGTACGTAGTCAGCAAACCCATCTGCATTCCATGGCCCCACTTCACAAAAAGGGACTCACACCCGGCTATCTGAGGAACAGTGGTCTCCCTCGGACAAAGACTTTCCCTAATAATCACCGCCACTCCCCCACCCCTTCCCTGGGCCCTTGGCTGATGAAATGCACGGAAACCTGGTGGGCACATTTCGATGAGGGGGACCTCCCCCCTCTTGGCCCAACCAGGTCTCCATAATACCTGCCAGGTCCGCATCCCCCTCCAAAATAAGATCACAAATGAGGGGGGCTTTATTAACAACCGACCTGGCATTACACAACATCAGCTGCGGACCCTGGGCCTGAGACTCTGCACAACCCAGGCCACGAGTCGCACATTGGGGGCCGGAGTGCGCAATTGCTCGTAAACAGCGTATGCGCACCCCCGACAAATGATATGGCCCCCTGCACCCGTCATACCTGCCCCTCCCACTCATTATTTCAATTTCATTGCCCTTCCTGTTGCCCCCCTGTTCCCTGGATAAATTTCCTTTCCCGACCCCTCTGCTGCAACCAATCAACCTATCGCCCCGCTCAGTAGCTATCTGGACCCCCCCAGGTCCACTTTTACAACCCCCTCCCTTCCTCCCGGGTCCCCTTAACATTTTCATTAAAAATTTAAATAAAAACCCCCTCATCCCCCTCTTCGCTGCATGCCATCTCTCGGGATTCCAAAATCCATCATCAAGATGTCCGCAGATCTGTTTTTTGATTATCTTTTCCAGTACCTTCCCGAGTATTGATGTTAGACTGATTGGTCTGTAGTTTCCTGGGTAAATTTCTCCCCCTTTTTTTGAAGATGGGAACCACATCAGCTCTTTTCCAGTCCTCCCCGGTGCTCCAGGATTTTTGAAAGATATGGTATAATGGTTCTGAGATGATATCTGCCAGCTCCTTCAGAACTCTGTGATGTAATTCATCAGGTCCCAGTGATTTATATTATCAAGATCAGACAGGTGTTCTCTAACCATGTTAATTTTTATTTCTAGTCTGTCTTTTGCAGTTATGTTTTTGGTAGGTTGGCCTTTTCTTTTTTCATGAAGACTGATGCAAAGAATGAGTTAAGCAGCTTTGCTTTCTCTCTGTTGTCGTTACTTTCTTGTGATCTTCTCTCTTTAGTGGATTGGCTGTTTCCTTGTCTTTTTTCTTGTTTTTTATAAGTTGAAAATTGATTTTATTTTTATCTTTGACTTTTTTTTTTGCAAGTCTTTGTTCATTCTAAGTCTTTGCTTTCCTGACTTCATATTTGCAGATTCTAGCTATCTACTGATATTGTGCTTTAGTTATGTGTCCTTCTTTCCATTTTTTGTACTTATCCTTTTTGTCTTTCAGTTTACCAGAGAGATCTTTGTGTAACCATGCTGGTTTCTTCTTGGATTTGTTGTTTTTCTTTTTCAGTGGTATTATGCTGGACTGGGCTTTTATGACCTTCCCATCACTCCTTACCTTATTATTTGATTTGTTTTCTAGGGGCCTTTGCTTGGAATTAGGTCCTGGGGATCCTAAAAATTGGTCAAACAACCCCCCCCCCCCCCCGTTCTTTTATTTTCCAAATATTACAGTTCTACATGGTGTGTTAGTTTATCAGATTAAAATCCCTATCGGGCAAAGACTTTGCTTCTGAAATTTCTTAACTGAACTGCTACATTTATCTAGACAGAAAAGACATTTACCGGTAAATACATATCTAGCCTTTTTTGGTTAGAAAGTGGAACCTGGCTACAGCTGACTAATAATATTTGTACTGCCAAACTGTAAGCCAAAAATATAATTAACTGCACCCTTAGTCACTGAGGTTCACTGGGTGACTTTGGCTCAATCTCTTGCAGGTCATCAGGCTCCTTGCTGTTCAGCTTTTGGAAGAAAGGCAAGATATAAATCTACCAAATATGTAACTGCTTCCAACATCCCGATTTTCTGTTGTAGAATCAGCTAGTCTAAGTAATAGTTCTATTTATGACTGTTTTGATGCAAGAAAAAGCTTGTATGTGATCAGTAGTAATACTTTATCATTGCTGTGAATAGGTGGCCATATATGTACATTTCTTAGAAAAATAGTTTTTCTGGGTTTATGATAATAGATTTTTCTACCAGCACCCAAGTAATAGACGGTGACTCACAGTTTTCCACCAACAAAGGATAGATAGGAATACAGAAAGCAAACCTGTATAGACACCATTTATGCTTCCTATGAGCAAGCTGAACAACTGCATAGTGTTAATGTAGTGGTTCTATTCAGATTTAAGGCCCACAAAGATTATAGTATCTATGGGGACACTAATGTTTGATAGCATATAATCAATCAATTATCTAGAGCAGTGATGGCTAACGTTTTCCGGACTGAGTGCCCAAAGCGCAGGTGTGAGCACCCAAATGCATGCGCACGTGCCCGACCCCCCAAGATGCAATGCACATGCAGCCCCTGTGCATGTGCCCCCCCACTCATGGCCCCCCACACATGGCCCGCCCCCACACATGCACGTGGGGGCCCCACACTACACCCCCCCACACACATGCGTGTGTGTCCCCCGCACACACCCCGCACATACATGGCAGAGACCCAAAGACCAGCTGGTTGGTGGGAGTTTTGCGTGCATGTGTGGTGGAGCTGAACTTGGGCGATGGCTTGAGTGCCCACAGAGAAGTCACTGCGTGCCACCTCTGGCATGTGTCCCATAGGTTTGCCATCATGGATCTAGAGCATCCCTCTACCTTGCTTGCCTACTTCCAATCTATTAATCATGCATGCATCCATGAAATATTTTTAGGGGCCAATTCATGAAGAATCTTAATACAAATGTTGTCATATTTATTGTAAAAATTAGCATTTATACCCTGATATTGTCTGCATCTCTTCACAGCAATGTTTTCACTTCCTAAAATATGATGCTGTGGTCATCAATAAGTCAAAAACAGTTGTTTAGTTTTTGAAGACAGAATGCTTGGGATGCATGGAAAGCAATGGATGGAAATTAATCAAGGAGAGAAGCAACCTAGAACTAAGGAGAAATTTCCTAACAATTAGAACAAGTAATCAATGGAATGACTTGCCTCCAGGTTGTGCGTGCTCCAACACTGGAGGTTTTTAAGAAGAGATTGGACAACCATTTGTCTGAAATGGTATAGTGTTTCCTGCCCAAGCAGGGGATTGAACTAGATGACCTCCAAGGTTCCTTCCAACCCTGATATGCATTGCATTCAATTTGGATTGAGAAAATTAGGATTCAATCCTTGCTCAGCCTTCATTGTGATATATCACTCAGAATGATGGCATACAACAAAAACTCCATTTCATACTATTTCCTCAACATAAATAAAAGTTTGCAACCAAATCATATGAGTGAAGGAACTGCATGGGGTGAGAAGAAAAGGAGATACTGTTTCCTACATGTGTTCATTAGGATATAATAAATGGCTTTGCATAAGAAAGGAAAAATGAAGTCACTACCTTCTTTTTTTTAGCATATTAGTGCAGCTGTTAAAACAATTGCACATATTGCCTAAAACTATATCTCAAAACCCCTGGATTGCCTGGTTATTCTCTATGCCTGCAGTTGTTAAATATATCCCCTGAAACCTAAATCAGTTAGTTTCATTTTTTTAAGTGATCAGACTGATGACTGATTTTATCTCTGATAAGGTCCTATTCAGACATAATCCCTTTTGAGCATAATAGCATACTAGGTGAATTTGGTAGTATAGATCAAAAAGCACTTGATTTTTAAATTACTTTACATTGAGTAAAAAGACCATATTCCAAAAAGTGGGTAGAGCAAGGATAAAAATCCATTTTGATTAATTTCATTTAAGATAATCAGAAATATCATTAATATTACTAAAACATATCAATGCTCAACTTCTAGTAACTACATGGACATAGTCATGGTGTTAGATCGGCGCAGGAATGGAAGACGCGACCAGCTCGTTACATTAGTAACTTTATTGAGAACAAGAAACAGTAGCAAGACTGGCTGTGCGCTGCCGGAGCTCTCCTTATATTCGCTCCGGCAGTCGCACCGCCCCTGACAGCGATTCAAACTTTCCCGCCCGATGGCTGGCAGCCAATCCGGGCGGATATCCTTATAAGGACATAACACTCCTCCCCCCTTAGTCCGAAAAAAATTTCAAAGTTCATTTATAAACGTCACGTAGTCCCGCAGGTACGTAGGACGCCTCAGCACCCTAGTTGACCTGCGCAGTCTCACTTCTTCCTCGTCCCCACCCTGGACGGACGGGGCTCCTCCGTCTTCTGGTTCCTTCCCCGGAACCGGGCTCGGTTCGGCTGGCGAGTGTGCGGGGTCACCCTCAGCGCCTCCGGCCGGACTGCAGACCTTGGATGGCTGGTTCTGGTGGTCTTCTTCCTGGCCTGTGGATCTCTCGCCTCGTTGATGCTGCTCGGTTCCGACCCGGGAAGAGCGTCTGAGTCTTGGTAAGTCACCGGCTGTCACTTGCTCTTCCCCGGTCTCCCGGGCGCTGCGGTTCGGTCGCGGTTCGGCTCGTTGTTGCCTGGTGGGTGGTTCGGATCGGTGCCCTCGGGTCCGGTCTGCCAGCTGTGGATGGTGTTGGTTCGGGTTGTGGTGTCCGACCTCGCAGGGGTGGCACAGGTCTCCTTGGCCGGGCTGGTGTTGGCCTCCCCCGTCAGGTCGGTAGTGGTCGCCCTGGTCGGGCTGTCGTTGCGGGCTACCTCCACGGGTTGGTGGAGGTCTCCCCTGTCGGGGTGGCGCAGGCCTCCCTGGCCGGGTTGTTGTCGGCTTTCCCTTCGCCCTAGTCCCTGGTCTACCGCAGGTTGGTGGCTGGGGTCATCTGGGCTGGGTTGTTGTTGTTGCCGGGTTGTCTTCTGTGCTGGACGGGGATCCCTCTCGCCGGGGAGTCGTGTGCCACCCTTGCCCATGGGCTGCGGTGTGCCCATCTCCGATGGTCCCCGGTCTACTCGCCTGGAGTGGAGGTCTCCCTGGCAGGGCTGACGTGGGTTGCCTTCGCTGGCGGGGTGTGGTGCTTCCCCTCTGGGCAGGTCCCGGTCTACTCGTGTGCTGTGATGGCGGTCTCTCGCCCTGTCGTGCCGGGTGCCCACCTCGCTGGGTTGGTGTTGCCACCCTCCATTCGGCTGACCCCGGTCTACCACTCTGGACTGCCGCTGTGTCAGCGCCTGGTAGTGTGCCTGGCCGGCCTCGTCGGGGTGTCGTGGGCCTACCTCGCAGGGGTGTCGTAGGCCTACCTCGCCGGGGTGTTGCAGGCCTACCTCGTCGGGGTGTTGCAGGCCTACCTCATCGGGGTGTTGTAGGCCTCCCTCGTCAGGCTGGTTTTCTTGTACTCCCCCCCACCTTTTCCGGAGCTGGTCGATGTGACGTCTACAGACCTGTCCATCTTCCAGCTCCACGGTGTAGGATCTTGGGCCGGTTGTGCTGTCTATCTTCCCCTTCAGCCACTTAGGAGAGCCGTGGAAATTCAGCGCGAAAATCGAATCTCCTTTGCTGAAGGCGCGAAGCGGGCGGCTGGCCGTTGCGGTCACTTCTGGGCTGTATTGTGGGTGCAGCCGGTCCAATGGTGACCTCAACCTTCTGCCCATCAACAGTTCGGCCGGGCTCTTGTGGGTGGTGGCATGCGGCGTGATGTGCTGGGTGAGGAGGAAGTTGTCTATTCTTTCCTGCCAGTCGCCCGTGCCCATCTTGGTGAGTGCCTCCTTGGTGAGCCTCACCATCCGTTCCGCTTGTCCGTTTCCAGCTGGCCTGTACGGGGCGGACAGGGCATGGCGGATGCCCAGTCCTGCCAGGAACGCCTCCATGGCCAGGGATGTGAGTTGGGGGCCGTTGTCGGAGGCCAGCACATCCGGTAGGCCATGGGTGGCGAAAAGGCGGCGCAGGGCCCGGATCGTCGCTTCCGTTGTGGTAGATGCCATGGGTACCACCTCGAGCCACTTGGAGAAGGCATCTACCACGATGAGGAGGTGGCGCCCTTGCATCGGGCCCGCGAAGTCGATATGTATCCTCGACCAGGGGTTGCTGGGGGTCTCCCACTTCGCTGTTTCGGCTTGTGGCGGCGCTGGGCGAACTTCCTGGCACGGGTCACATCTGGAGACCCATTCTTCAATGTCTTTGTCCAGTGCGGGCCACCAGACGTAACTCCGTGCCAGGGCCTTCATGCGGACGATGCCTGGGTGCCCTTTATGCAATGTTTCGAGTGTCCGCCGTTGCAGAGTGCTTGGGATCAGCACCCTGTCTCCCCATAGTAAGCAGCCCTTCATGGTGGACAGCTCCTTCTGCTTCCTGGCGAACGGGCTGAACTTCTCCTCCGTCTGTTGCGATGGCCACCCCCTGAGGATCCAGGACTTCACTTGGCGGAGTGTGGGGTCCTTCTGGGTGTGGACGGCCACATCTGCAGACGAGACTGGACAGCTGGCGTCGTCGTCTATGTGGAATAGGTGGAGCGTGGGGGCTGGGTCTTCTACAGGATCCTTCAATGGGCATCTGCTCAGCGCATCGGCGTTTCCTATGGCTGTGCCTGGCTGGTGCACGAGCCTGTAGGAGTAGCCGGCTAAGAAGATGGCCCACCTCGTCATCCGCGGGGACATGAAGGTCGGTGTGGGTTGGTCGCCTGCGAGGAGCCCCAGGAGTGGCTTGTGATCGGTGACTATGGTGAAACTCCTCCCGTAGAGATACTCGTGGAATCGTTTCACTCCTGCAACGATGGCCAGGGCTTCTTTGTCCAGCTGGCTGTAGTTGCGTTCCGCGCCAGACATGGTTTTTGAGAAAAATGCTATTGGGGCTTCAGAGCCGTTGGGCAGTTCGTGGCTGAGGACTGCCCCCACCCCGTAGGGCGACGCATCGCAGGTTAGCTTAATGGGGAGCGTCTCATTGTACTGGATGAGGACGCTTTTTGAGGTTAAAAGTCCTTTCACGGCTCGGAATGCTGCTTCCTCTTCCTGGCCCCACTTCCAGGAAGCCGCTTTCCCCAGCAGGCGGTGGAGTGGCTCAGCAACTGTGGCTTTCTGTTTAAGAAAGATTGCATAAAAGTTGAGCAACCCAAGGAATGCCTGAAGTTCCGTTTTGTTTTTGGGGCTCGGAGCTTCATGGATTGCCTTCACTTTAGATTTGGTGGGGTGGATGCCAGTGCTATCAATGAGATAGCCCAGGAACTCGACTTCCTGTACTCCTAGGATGCACTTATCTCTCCTGACTCTCAAGCTCTTGGCCTTGAAGCGCTGCAGGACAAGCCTGAGCCTATCAAGGAGTTGTGCCTGTGAGTCTCCGGAGATCAGCACATCATCAAAGTATGGCACCACCCCTGGAACGCCTTGGAGGAGGCGTTCCATCATTGATTGGAAGATGCCGGGGGCAGCGCTGACTCCAAACTGGAGACGGTTGCATTTGAATGCCCCCCTGTGTGTGACTATGGTTTGGGCCTCCGCCGTTTTTTCGTCCACTGGCAGTTGCTGGTAAGCCTGGGCCAGGTCCAGTTTTGCAAAAATTGTGCCAGTTCCCAGGGAATGCAACAGGTGCTGCACTACTGGGACTGGGTATGCGCTCTGTGCCAACGCCTTGTTGATGGTACAACGATAGTCGGCGCAGATGCGCACAGACCCATCATGCTTCAGTGGGGTCACAATGGGGGTCTCCCATGAAGCATGATCGATCGGTTCCAGGATGCCCTGGGCGATCAGCTTATCCAGCTGCTCGTCTACTTTAGGCCGCAGGGCAAATGGAACCCAGCGGGGCTTCAGCCTAATTGGGGTGATTCCCTTGTCCAGATTAAAAGAGATTGGCCTCCCCACAAATTTCCCCAGCTTACCATCGAAGACTTCCTTGAACTCTTCGATGAGGTTGTCGAGTTCGTCCCTGCGAATTTGGTTGATGCCTTCGATTGAAAGCCCCAGCGGCTTAAACCACTCCACTCCTAGCAGGTTCGGTCGGCTGTCCTTCACAACGGTGATGGGGAGCTTGCCTTTGAACTCGTTGTAGGCGACTCGGATGTTGGCTCTTCCTAACACTCCAATGGGGTTGCCCCCAAAGTCGACGAGCTTGGAGTGTAATGGCTTCAGGTCACGCTTGGTGATGCTGGGTTGCAGGCGCTTCAGTTGTTGCCAGTCCATGATGGAGTAGACCGAGCCCGAGTCTACCTCCATTTCGCAGGGTGCTCCCTCCACGTGGATGGTCACGTGGAACTTAGTGGCATTGTGTGAGTCCGTGTGTGCGATGGTCGTCTGGTGGACCGCTCCGCTCCGGGGAAAATCATCGTCTCTGCATCTGGATGGGCCAGAGGACCGTTTGGATGATCTCTGGTAATCCTTCCGATTCTCGCGGGGACGGTGGCTGGGTGGCTCTGTGGCTGGTTCCTCGGCTCTGCAAGCTTCGGCGATGTGACCCCTTCTGTTGCAGCGTCGGCAGGTCGCATCTCTCCACTTGCAGGTCGCCCTGGCATGGTCCCCTCTGCAGCTGGCACAGCGCTCCCCCTTGTAGCTTCGTTGGGCGGCTTCCCGCCTTGGGGGTCTGGATACCTTGTGTACGGTGGACTCCACCTCCGACTCGGATCCAGCTGTGGAATCCTCGGTTGATGATTGCTGTGATGAGCGAATCTTGTGGATTCCCTTAGCTCTGCTTACTGCGGCAGCCGCTTTCTCTGAGATTTCGGATGCGGTGGCTTCCTCCACCACATCCTTGAGCACGAGTTTCTTCCTGCTCAGGAATTTCTTTTGCAGGCTTCTGTCCCTCATGCCGAAAACCACACGGTCAGCGATGGCGTTGTCCACGTGGTCGAACTCGCAGCTGGCTGCGATCTGGCGCAGGGCAGCCACGAATTCTTTGATGGTCTCACCTTCCTTTTGGTCCCTCTGATGGAAGGTGAAACGGTTCGCCACTGGTGTTCCAGTTGGGGCATAGTATTCTTCCAGGATCTGCAGCAGGTCCGTCCATGGCACTTCTTCGATGTCTCGTGGTGCTACGAGATCGATTGCCATATCCAGGACTTCGGAGCCGCAGTTGGCCAGGAAGATGCCCTTTTTCCGGTCATCATCGGCATCCCTGATGTTGTTGCCTCTCAGGTATTGCCGGAATTTGGCCACGTAGGATTTCCACTTGTCCTTCCCTGGGCGGAATGGAGCAAGGGCTGGCAAAGTGACTTCAGCGGATGCCATGCCTTCGGGAATGCCTACTGTGGTTTCAGGTCCCGGCGTCTTGGTCTTGTTGGCTTGGTGCCACGAGGTTCGTCTCTTTCCTCTAGTCCTTCGTCGCCAGTGTTAGATCGGCGCAGGAATGGAAGACGCGACCAGCTCGTTACATTAGTAACTTTATTGAGAACAAGAAACAGTAGCAAGACTGGCTGTGCGCTGCCAGAGCTCTCCTTATATTCGCTCCGGCAGTCACACCGCCCCTGACAGCGATTCAAACTTTCCCGCCCGATGGCTGGCAGCCAATCCGGGCGGATGTCCTTATAAGGACATAACACATGGAATAATTAATATCTACATATGCAACAACTTTCTTCTTCTGCTACATTAGAGATTACATTCTGACTACAACCTGGAGATTCTAGTTGCTTTATTCAAGTTTATGATGAATGTTGCTGTGCCCATATCAGTGGTGGGTTGCTTCCGGTTCGGTCCGGTTCTATAGAAAACCAGACCCGCCCACCCGCCATGACGTCATCATGGGTGATCTGCGCATGTGCAGAAGCTTCTGCGCATCTACAGAAGCGCACACGCACGTGCTCCCATTGTGAACCGGTAGTAAAGGTAAATGGTAAAGGTAACCCACCCCTGGCCCATATGTTGTAAAGATGCCATAGTTGTCCTCCCCTGACTATGGGCATTTTGTGAAGATTTTTTCAGTGTAACTCTGGCAATGCTACATAACTACCAGTGTATGGAAATTTCTTTAAACAAACAACCTTGAGAATCACTTATTATGCATTCAGCATAATATTTAAACCACATAGAAGGTGGAAGTTCCTAGAAATACCACAAGTATCATAAAAATTAACTAATTAACAGTACACATCATGGTATTCAAGTATTCCTCTCTTTCAGCTGCAATTGCATTTGCACACCAGACCCCTAAAATACAAAATCCTGCATAGGACCAGACCCCTAAAATACAAAATCCCAAATATAATTGCAAGAGAAAATAAGCAAAAGCATACATGAAAATCAGGATAATAATGTTTAAAGCAGGGGTGTCAAACTATTTCATTGAGGGCTGCATCAGGGCTGTGTTTGACCTTGCGGGGCTGGGGTGGGCATGGCCAGGGTGGGTGTGGCCATGTCAATGTCACTTGTGTCAGGGGTGCCTGTGGTGGCTTAAGCACTCTGCCAGCAAAAACGGGCTCCCGAAATCCATTTTCGGCTGCAACAGCCTCCTGCAACCCTCTGCCAGCGAAAAAGGAGCTCGGGAGGGTGGCCCTCCTGAGCTCTGTTTTCATTGGCAGAGGCACCCAGGCCAGTCCTTTGCTGTTTCCAGGGTGGCCCTGCGGACCAGATCTAAGCACCTTGCGGGCCGCATCCAGCCCCTGGGTCTTGAGGTTGACACCCCTGGTTTAGAGGATACATATCTCAAATAATACAATCTTCTTTATGAATTTTTACATAACCTTATTATATTATGACCTAGGACTTCCTGAGCCAGTTGCAACTGCATTTTTCATAAAACTTAGCCAGCAGAAGTAGTAATAAACCTCTGTTTTGACTGGCCAATTTGGTTTATAATTTTGGAATTACATTTTATTCTTTAATACTGGATGTTTCTAAATAAGTATTAAAGAGCAAGAAAAGATTAGAGAAACTTTATGAAGATAAACTGGGTTAGAATTTGTGCCTTATGACAAGGACCTCTAGTTATATAGAGGCTTGTTGAAACTGAAAGTTAAAAAGAGGTCTGTAAGGGGCATGCATAAGAGCACCATGGTGCCTACCGTCCCTATCCTAATGTTTCCTCTATTTGTATCTATTTTATGCATTCAATTCATGCTTATACTTATATATATTACCTAATATGTTCTTGACAAATAAATAAATAAAATTGCGAAACTCTTTCAACATCAGCAGAAGGATAAGTAATGGGGGAATAGTCATGACTCACTGATAGAATCAGAATACATGCTTTGTGTGTCAAGGGTCTCAACTTCAATCCCTTTTATCATTAGAGAAGTCTGAAAAAGATGCTTGGCTTAAATTCTGTACAAAAGCTCTCTCCATGAAGACAGTGCTGAGTTAGATCAAAATCAATGGTCTGACTCAATATCAAGCAACTTCCTGTGTTCCTGTTTCTGCTAAATGTCAAAGCATCAAGAGCTAAAAGTTATGGAAGCAAATCAGGCCAGAAAATGTGCTGGTAAACATACCTGTGGTAAAATTATATAGGTAACCTCTCACACTTCCCACCCTTGAATTAATGGTATTACTTTAGAGTTTGGTTTCTAGCAAATCATACATTTTGCATCAATAAGTGGGATTTTTTTTTCCAAGGGAAGGGAAGGGAGACTGTGTTCTGTATAATTTGGCAACAGCTTCATTTTGTTGCAGATTTATCTGAGTCTCTTCATTCAGAGGCTTCAAAACCTTCATTTTCAAATAACTATTTTCACTCTCACAGTTTCATTTCCCCTCTATGCTGGTCAAAAGAGATCAAAACATTTAGTCAGGAGGGGGTGGAAGAGAGATTTCAAACTTCATTTTGGAAGGCAGCCAAGATGTTCTCATTACTCAAGAATTTGAGATTGTAAAAAAGAGGCAGGCAAATTTTAATGCAGATCATAGCAATGTTGGAGAATTCCATTGCTTATAACAATGGAGACAACCATGGAGCAGCATTCTGAAAAACTAGAGGGAAAACGGAACTGTTTTTTCCTGCTTTGAAGATACAAATACTTCTGAGCAGCTGCTTCCTTTTGCTTTAACTCCAGATATGACAGGTTCAGCCTGAGAAGAAAACCACTAACCCATTGTGTTCTTTTTTTGCAAAGCAAATGAAGACCTGCCATTGTCAAGCAAGAACACAGAATACAGCTTACACTGTGATTTCAAAAGAGAAAGTTCTGATACAATCGTTTTTAGATTGCAGAGGCTGCATTGAATGTGGAAAAAAAAAACATTATGAGGGGATAAGGTTCCTTGGCTTTAGGAAGTATCATTAGATGGTACTGTCATCTTGCTTTGGGAAGTTTAATTGAGAGGTAATACTACGTTTCCTGCAAGAAGATCAGGGCAAGGACTGTGTTTTTGTTTCCTTCCAGTTTATTCCTTAGCACAGTTCATAAGATTAAACTGTAAAGTACATGTTTGAATGAACATATATGACTTTACCTCCTTTCTGGATACTTTAACAGTAAGGTATAAAAGAAAAGGACACCAAAATGACATTATGAAAACAGTACAATTGATAAAAGAGAGGATTAGGGTTAGGGTACAATATTTGAAGACTTTTTGCTTAACAAATGGAGAAATCATGTAAAATAATATCTTGTGTGTAGCAGGAAAAGTGGGCAGAGAGAGGTTTTCATCCTCTTCTTGTAAGCATATGGGGATTCCAGGGAGACATAGTATATAACATAGCATATATTAAACCATGATTTGGTTATTTCACCCTACAGTGATGTCCACTTCCTAATGATGGGTTTTAAAGATAATTAAGACAATGATCTGAGGATAAGACAGTCAATGGCTCATCATATAATAGCTATAATCAGGCTATATTCTTGGAGGCAGCAAGTTGCTGAGTGTTGGAGACAGAAGCAGGAGTGTCATTGACACATTTTGTTTTTCCTTTTATAAGCATGTGATTGGCTGCTAGGGAAACAAAAAGCTGAACTATGTGCCCTTAAATGTAAAGAATATGTCTGTGAATGAATATACATAGAGGAAGAGACATTACTGGACCAGATAGGCTAAAGACTGCCATTTTAAGTATACTTATAGAAAGACTGTACCATTAACTTTCAAGAAACTTTGCACATGATTGCATGATGAACTGAATAGAATGCATCCTTTGCTGGAATTAAGGACCATTTTTGTTGTTGACTAATGTTATTGTCCAGATCCCTTGCACATGTGGTTCCGTAGGAAAAAGCCTTTGTCAATATAGTCCAACTGCTCAATATTTGATAGTGCAGTACTTTTCCCTTCACTTTTTAAAATTAGCTTTTCTAAACTTTTAGCTCTCTTCTACATGGAGGCCTCATGAAGTATATTGTTAGCAAGGTTAACACAGTGTATGTTTGGCTTGCAATCTCATCCCATTTTATTTTCTTAGTCACTTATCCTGCAATGAATGAAATTAATGGAATGGCAGGCAAGTACAGGTAGTCCTCAACTCACAATCATTCATTTAGTGACCATTCAAAAGTTACAGCACTGAAAAATGTATAAAAAATGTGTTTTTTACCCTTATGACCAACACAGCATCCCTGTGAATACATCATCAAAATTTGGTTGCTTGGCATTCAGCCAGGGGTGAAATACTCCCGGTTCGGACTGGATCGCCCGATCCAGTAGCGATGGCGGGGGTGGTGGTTTGGAGAACTGGTAGCAAAAATCCTTGCGCCCCTCCCCCATGCCCAGCTGAGCTGCAGGATCATCAGAGGCTTTTTTTTTTTTTACTTTTAAAAGCATTTTTTCTACAACCTCCTTGGCCGAAAAAATGCTTTTAAAAGTTAAAAAAAAGCCTCTGATGATCCTGCGGCTCAGCTGAGATCATCAGAGGCTTTTACAAGCATTTTTTCTGCAACCTCTTCAGCCGAAGAGGTTGTAGAAAAAAATGCTTTTAAAAGCCTCTGATGATCCCAGCTGAGTTGCCTGATCGTCAGAGGCTTTTAAAAGCATTTTTTTCTACAGCCTCTTCGGCCAAAGAAGTTGCAGAAAAAATGCTTTTAAAAGTAAAAAAAAAAAAAAAAAAAGTTGGCCACGACCCCCTAGTCACATTACTCACCACCACCAAGCCATGCCCACAGAACCAGTAGTAACAAATTTTACATTTCACCACTGCATTCAGCATATATTTGCAAGTCGGTTGCAACATTCTGGGGTCATTCGATCATCATTTACAATCTTCCTACAAGCTTCTGGAAAGCAAACAGGGAAAATTGGATTTGCTTAAAGATCACATGATTCACTTAACAACTACAGTGATTTACTTAACAATCATG